TCATGGGAGGATTCAGAGCTTCCACATAACAAAGATGACCAGGAAGAACCAGAACTTCTACAGATTAAAGAGGAACTGGAGGAAGAACTGCTCTTACTGAAGCAGGAGACAGAGACTGAGGAAAGGAAGAGCTGTGAACCGGACCCCAACAGGGACCAGCTCCTCTGTCAGAACTCTTCTGAAGCTGAAAATCAAGATAAGGAAGGACGTAGGAATTACTACCTGAAACTCACCAGGAGAAGTCCACAAACCAGAGGAGAAGGTGTGGCCACTTCAAACCAGAAGACACACCAAAATGTTCACACTGGTGAAAACCTGTTTCCTTGTAAGATTTGTGGCCGATGCTTCAGTCGCAAAAGTGACTTGAGTAATCACATGAGAACTCATACGAGTCAGAAACCTTTGTCATGTCCGACCTGTGGGAAAACTTTTGCTCAAAAGTGTAATTTAATCACACACATGAGAATTCACTCAGGTGAGAAGCCTTTTCTGTGTCGGACCTGTAAAAAGGCTTTCAGCCAAAACTCTACTTTAATTCATCACATGAGAATTCACACGGGGGAGAAACCCTTCTCATGTCAGACCTGTGGGAAGTGTTTCATTCATAGATTAGGTTTAAACATCCACATGAGAACGCACACAGGTGAGAAGCCGTATCCATGTGAAATTTGTGGTAAATGTTTTTCTCAGAAAAGTAACTTGACTACTCACATGAGAACTCATTCAGGTTTAAAGTCACGTGTAAAGAAATCAGCTCATCTGAACAGTTTCTCCCTCTAGTGGTCGTAAACTGGCAGAAACAAAACGTCTAACCACAACCTCATTTATCCCAGTTTAGTTTTATTAAACTTTATAACTGATAAACCCATTTTATTTGAATTAAAAACTTTAAAAGACAGAGGGCTGACTTAAGCGTAGCTGTTATTAATTTTAACTGATTTAAAAGTACGACAGTTCTATACAGTAGTCCCTCGTTACTTCGCGGTTCGTTTATCTTGGACTCGACAAACAACCATTCACTCTCTCTCTCACCTAGAGACAATTCAGAGTTACCAATCAGTCTAACATGCATGTTTTTGGTAACTGGAGTACCTGGAGAAAACCCACACATGCACGGAGAGAACATGCAAGCTCCACCCAAAAGGGTTCCAGACCAGGATTTGAACCGGCGACCTTCTCGCTGAGATGCAGCAGCTTTACGAACTTGCTCTGCCGTGCCGTCCACTATTAAAATATATTTAATAATATTTATTTTGTTTTGACCTTTGTTTGGATTCATCGTGACCTGGATGACAGAGGATCTTCGGCGTGTTGACGTGTTTCGTGCACGCTTTATTAGGCCGGTAGAGAATTTATATTTGTGTTTGTAAATTTAAACCAAAACAGGCTTGAAAAATATCAAAGTTGTGTCAAATGTGAAAGTATGTAATAAAACAAGACCATCTTGTATAAACTGGGAGTAGCAATTGATTTTAAATTTTCTAGCTTCAGTTGTTTGTGTAGTTACATTATTTGACCACAAGGAGGCGTAAAACCAGTCTTTGTATTATTGATTATGTAGAATGAGATTTTTCTGTGTTAACTCAGCATTGCTGTGCAGTTACCATCTGTTTGTTTGACTCGGACTGAATTTACTGAAACGAGCTCGTTTGTTTTGACCCGATTAGGCTCGTCTTAGATTAATCTTTGCTTTTCGTTAAAGTGACAGGCCCAACGTTTGTTTGGTCCAAGTTTCAGCTGTTGGGACAGGACTGTATGACTCCAGAACCGTTTGGTCTACAGAGAAGTTCCTGGTCCACTCAGTGACTGTCAGAAGCCCAAACCATCAGCCCTCCACCTCCGTGCTGACAGCTGAGCTGTTTGCTGCAGTGCATTCTGGGTAAACCTGTCCTCTGGTCGTGTTCTGGTCCAGAAGTCTTGTGGTTCCTTCAAATGAACCCCATTGCACTGCCCCTAATCAGCCCCAACACTACTCAGCCCGGCTCAGCTCAGCCTGGATTAGCACCTGCACTTTAGGACCGATTCTGGAGGCGTGTCCAGAATCCAAGTCCTGCTAATGAGAGTTCTGCGATGAGTTACTCAAAGCAGTCTGCTCCTCAGATAAATAATGTTAAATTATTATTTTTATATATGAATGTTTCTGTTCAGTCCCTGAGAAACACCTGCAGCTCGTGTCTTCTGCTCTTCTTCAACCTTGTGTCTCAGGAACATCCTGGACTTTGTTTCTTCAGCCTTAGTTGGAAAAAGACCAACCGGTGGTTCTCTTTGCTGCGGTTTTATCTCCGGGGTTCTCTCTGGGTCTTTTCCGTTGTCTGTACTTATTAAAATACTTTGCTTTTAAAGTTTTTTTTTATGTTTTTGTGTAACTGCGACGTATTGAATCTGTTTTAAATCTGCTTCTCAAACTGATCACCAAACTGTTCAGTAAAATACTGTTATTCTGCTCCATAAAGGATAAATCATTTAAGACTGGGGCATTGTGGGTAGTGAGATCTTTTTTTCTTATGAAGTAGGACGCACCAAAGGGGCTGTTTGCAAATCTTCTTCTTTCGGCTGCTCCCTTCTTCATGTGTCTCCACAGCAAAATAACTTTCACGAAGACTTGGTGATTGTTTCTGGATGTCCTTCCTGACTCAACCACCGAGCTACCACAGCCCTCTGTGTGGAGCAGAGCTGCCACATGGTGGGGGCTAAGAGCCTTGCTCAAGGGCTCAGAGTGAGACAAACGAGGGTGGAGGCAGGTGTGGGGGCTTCATCTTTCCCACCCACATTTTGATGTCGGTCTTGGAGTTGAACCTCTTCTGAACTTCTGAAGAGGCATCAGGTGTTTGATGGACTCAGAGTCGACACTAAGTGATCTAAATGTTTTTATTTGAATATTTTTGACTTCTTCGGTGTCGGAAACGTTTGGCTGATGGTTTGGGCTCCTTCAGTCTGGACCAGGGACAAGTGGACCAGGACCTCCTCTGTAGACCAAAAGGTTCTGGAGTCAGAGGAGTCCATCTGTCCAACAGGTCCAGCAGGACCAAGCTGGGTCCAGCAGGACCATGATCCCAACTCAGCAGCTGATCTACAACAGAACGGGTCTCGTGGGCTTGTTAAGAGCAGTTTTATGGACTTTGAATGATTTATCTTCACACAGCCTTTAAAAACATCTTCTTTTAGCCAGATGTAGTTTGGATGTTGTCCTAAACCGTTTTGTATTTTTTACACTTGTACATGTTTGTTTTTTTGTATAGAATTTTCCTTTGAAGCATTTTGTCATATATCTATAAACTTGACTTACATGAGGCTGAACTGGTTCATTTTGATCAAGTTTAATGAATAAAATAAAGAATTCTGATGCAGTTTTACTTTATTAGCATCAACAGTTAATGTTGTGCACAAACCGTCACGGGGACAAATCAGATCGGTCTAACAACCCACAACCGTGGTCCAAATGGACCGCCTCAAGACAAAATGGGAAACTCAGACATGGCTGATACGTATTCTTTAAAATTTATTTTTTTGTCGTTCCTTCGCATCCAAACGACTGAGGTGCTTTGTCTGGTCTGGATGCCTCTTGTTCGCCATCCTGGAGTTCTCCGGGCACGTCCCACAGGGAACAGGTTCCGGGTCAGACCCAGAACTCTCTGCTGGAAACACCTCAGGGCCCCCCAGGAGGAGCTGGAGAGTCTGGGGAGAGGGAGGTCTGGCCTTTTCTCACGAACACCAACATGAATCAGCCGTGATGGATTTTATTTATTTTTGAACCACTTTAAGATTATTCGTGCGTATGAAAGTTGTTTTGCACGTTGTAAATAAATACTTGCACAGTAAACTTTGGGTTGTGTCCAGCTGTGACATCACATCTGGTCCGTTTGAAGTTAAAAACAGCTTTGGCGTTAAATTCATGAAACACGTCGACACATTCAACGAGACACAAACGAAGAGAAAACTCTCTTTATTCAATGTTGATTTCAGTAATTATACTTTGGGTAAATGTATTTTAGAGCAAGAAAATGGCAGATCATCGTTTAATAAAGTAACAGAAGCAGCACTGCAGACTCTTACTAAGCTTCTTCTGAGGAGGTTATTGAAGTTAAGTGACAACGCTGCAGCACGAAGCAACACCAGCGAGCAGGTTTCTAAAGGACACGGACTTTTTAAACCAAAACATACACGAATTATAACGTGTTGTGTCCATGAGCAGTTTGTTGTTATGAAGCTTTTAGTTTGAAGGATCATTCAGTGGGTTCATGTTGGAGGAAGCTGAGGACAGGAGATGAATTCTGCATGAAGGGTTTGAACTCAGATGTTGTGAGCTTTTAGACCTACAGCCTGTGTTGTTCCACCACACCACGACTCTGTAGTAGTTCCAGGAACTCATTGACTCTTCTGTCCAGTCTGCTCCTGCCTCGGGCTTTGATCTTCTCCAGCACCTTGATGCTGTTCTGCCGGGAGAAGGACTCTTGGTCTATGGCTGCAGCCTTCATGTGATACTCGACGGACTTGTTCCTGTCGTTTCGATCAAAGTTGAGGTATTTTGCGTAGCTGTTGTAGAGCATCTGTTTGTCTGCAGGATCCTGAACGTTTCTCAGCAGCTCCTGGTACATCTGCTCTGATCTCGCCAGACCCTGAGGAGACTTCGCCTGTATGCTTGCGAGGTCGAGCTTCTTCGACAGATTAGAGTGAGGGTAAAGAGCAATGACCTCCTCGTACAGGCCGATGGCTCGGTCGAGCCTCCTTGGGTTTGGGCGTCGGTCTTTGGAATGGAGGATTTTCCATTTGTAGCAGATCGCGGCGCATCTCTTCAGGTAACGCGAGTCCGGATGCTTGCTCAGGGCTTTTTCAGCCAAATCAATGGCCTCATCGAAGGCGTCCATTTCTCTGTACACCCTCAGCAGTGCTTTCAGGCCGCTGTAGCTGCTGACAGGATTCAGTATGATCTTGTCTGTCAGCTCCTCAGCTTCATCTCTCACTTGCTCTCCTCTCTTGGCGCTTTGCTTCAGCTCAACGGCAGCGAGGTACAGGTTCTCCGGATCCTCCCTCCTGGCAACGCTCATGTCCTCCCAGATATCATGGGCCAGGCCCGTCTCGCTGTGCTTGAAGGCGTTCACCAAGGCCAGCATGCGGCTGGTCTGCCACTGCACCATGTCCGGCTCCATCCTGAAGGCTTTCTGGAAGTAATCTGCCGCCTGCAGCTTCTGCTCGTTGGAAAAGTGCATCAGGGTCCAGGCCTTCTCAGCGCAGACTTTCGGGTGGAGCTCTTCTTTGATGGGAGACGGGTATTTCTTCAGGAGGGCGTCAACCTTTGACAGGAAATCCTGACTCTTCTTATCTTCACCCATATGATGGTGCAGCCACGCCAGATTCCCGTAGTTCACCATCAACCAGGGACCCTCGTCGGTGGTCTTCACCTGCTGGAAGGCTTCAGTGGCCCTGCTGAAGAAACCCCGGGCCTCTTCGAGGGAGCCCAGCTTGTACTGGATGAAGCCCTGCAGGTTGTAAATGTGACCCAGCCAGATGTTTCCCTCCTCGGTGCCGATGTCCTCCAGGTTGGCCTTCAGACAGAACAGTTTGGATCTGGTGGGGTCCAGATCCCAGGTGAAGTGGCTCTGCAGGGCCTTCAGTTTGGACTCCAGATTCTCAGCAGCACTGATGGAAAAATAAAATAAAATTAACAATTTTTTTTAAATCCCAGGGGTGATTTAATTTGCCGTAAAGAGGATTAAAAATATAGAAAGAAGGAGGTGAAGGAAACAATCAGGATGTATTAAATAAAGGAGGAAGGAAAGAAGTAAAGCCAGAAGAACGGAGGAGGAGCAGGAGTTACCACCTAATTACCAAAAATCTACAATAGAAAACTACTTATCTTCTGTAAGATGCACCAAACAAGAATAAATAAATATAATATGTGCTTACATAAATAAAATAATAATAATAATCATCATTTTATTTAAAAAGCGCCTTTCATGACACCCAAGGACACTTTAAAGTAAGAACAAAGATCAACAGGAATAAATTACATAAAGAATATAAAATACATTCAGAATATAAATTACATAAAGAATATAAAATACATTCAGAATATAAATTACATAAAGAATATAAATTTCATACAGAATATAAAATACATAAAGAATATAAAA